CTGATTGGATTTACACTAAAATGCCTCCATAAAAATAGCACATTTATTTCCTATTTAAATAGAATAAGTTTAACGAGTACTTAGGTTTGCTGCAACAGGGAGGATAAAAAAGATTTTTTTTTAATAAATTGATAATAGTTTAGTAAGAAATAAAAGTATTTTCCAAAATCGATCAAAATATGTTCATAAACAAGCAAACTACAACGGTTGACTTATTCTCTTAAGAATAACATGGGAATTTCAAAATTACAATTTTTTTGAATTTTCTCCGTAACAAATAGGCGCATAACAACGCTTCAATATACTAAATTATTTGTTTTTTTAAGCTCTACAAAATGGTTTAAAAAGAAATTGTGAAATTTCGTGTTTTTAGGGTCAAAAATGGGAAAACCCTATTTTTACCCCATAAAACCCCCCATAAACCCCCGTTCCCATAGTCCGATCATGCTGGTTCGCGAACTCATTCAAGTTTATCCCGCCTTACACCTTCAAACCAAATTTTATCAAAATCGGACAAAAACTACTCAAGTTATCGTGCGGATGGACACACATATATATATATATATATCTATATATAGATATATAAAAATTTGAACGAATGGTGTTTTTGGCCTCTGGGGACATCAAAATGAAAAAGTAAATCGGTCCCGGGCTTAGGTCTTACCATGAGACCTACGGTAATAGCTACTTCCCTATAGGGAAATTCGCTAAAATCGTAGAAACAGTATAGATAAAACACGTATTTAGATTTTATATCTTAGCAATGAAAAATAAACAGTATCAGCAATCTGAGACATACTTTCTTCCAGCTTGTCAACAACCTTTATCATGGGTAAGCGATGAGAGTAACTATGATATTTAATAGGTAAAATAGCAAAAGTTACAATAATTTTTGAACCGCAATTTTTACAGCAATGGAGGTTGCACTATTTTGTTAAGAATTATAAGAGCCATCACATACTAAATTCAATTCGGTTACGGATATAATTTCAAAAATTGTAAGTTTAAAATTTCCCTGTTATTTTTTTGGAGAATAAATAAACTGTTGTAGTTTGCTTGTTTATGGATATATTTAAACCAAATTGGAAATTTTTTAACTAACACTAAGCTATCCATATTGCAATAAAAAAACACATCTCAATATATTCCCTGTAGCAGCAAACCTAAGTACTGTACTCACTAAAATTAATGTAAATGAAATAGGAAATAAATCTTACAATTTTAGGGAATATTTTAGTAGAAATCCAGCCTGGTAAATGGAAATTCGTTTAGTCTGCAGGTTTGCGGCGGTGAGGGTATTTTTGGGGGTTTTTTATGAGAAAATGACATAGGTTACAATAACTTTATAACCATACCGGAATGGGAGTTCTACCATTTTATTCAAAATTTAAATGGCTACAAAATCGTTCGGGTCATTTTCGAGAAAATTCTATTTTTCCGTTATTTTATGGGGTTTATGAGAAAATCGCCATTAAAAAATAAAAATAAATAAATAAAAACGCCTAGAGATACTATGCATTAGAATGTACAAACCAAATTTCATCAAAATCAGACTACAGGTTTGGTCTATAGCTCTGTACACATCCACACATTCACACAGACACACCCCCACACGGACGTAAACCACTTTTTTGGGTTCAGGGGGACCTAAAACGGATACATCCACTCAAAACCCAAACTCTAAAAGGTTTATGAAATCAATACTATCTCCATATACTATAGGGGGAGAAAGTAAAAAGATTTTTCCACTTATTGTAAAATTTTTAAATGTAATATTTGTAATTCTTTGTAGATAACCAAAAATCCAAAATTCCAAATTTATTTCAAAATAAATTGTGCTTTGTAATAAGGTTTTTAGTAAGAAATCATCAATTTTGTTATTAATACGGGCCTAAACCATTTAAATTGTAAACAGCCATTTTAAAATGTAAATAAAGTTAATTGAAGTTGTTACTATTAACGGCAATAATAAGGTATCGATAATGTTAATAAGGATAATAATAACGATAATAAGGTAACAATAATGTTAGGTATTCTGTTTTACAGACAATAATAGAATCATCGGCAACTATTCACAGTTCGTTTGTTATTTGGTTAAGGATTTTCGTACAGCCCGTTGGATAAATTGCTAGTTACTCAGCTAAACTTACCTTATTTCTTTCGAATCGCCTCATTTTACGTTTAATACATCCGTAGGGACTTCCTAAAAACATTGTTCAAGGATTACAATTTACTATTTCTTCAGTCCAATAAAATCAATGGGTATATTTTAAATGGCTATGTACATCAACTTTATATTCAATGATTTGTAACAAAAGGGTCCTTCCAAATCCATTTCATAATCCTATTTTACAATATACATGTCGATGTTAAGATGTTGTTACATAATAACCTTTTTCGAACAGAAATATATATTCGTTCTACAGTAATTTTGCATTTTAATTACTATTATGTCGACTATTTTGTGTCATCCTGGTTGTTCAGTATGATGTGTGCATAGCACAAACATGCAAGAACAGAAGACCGAGGACAATATTGCATGCTATGTGACAAGGAGGCTGTTTTATTCAAAACGTATAAACATAGGACATACAAACGATTATATAGTTTATAACCCATTTAATTCAATAAGTGATCGTGGGCCACTAAGCATAATGATAAAAACGATCTCCCACATCCAAGTTCTTTGAAGACAACTATTCTACTTAATTCAATCTGTACTATGAAGTTATTTTCCTTTGTGGTCGTCATTTCATTTAAAATTATAAATAAAATTATTAAAAAGACCTGGCTAGAATAACTTCTTAGATCTGACTGGTCTAGAATACCTGAATAATATTATCTCTGTCCAATGACGAGACATATGAGGTGGCGATATTTTATCCATTTCCTTTTGTTTTATCATTCGTCCCCGAATATTTTATTTTAAAATAATTATTTTTAGGAGGGGGGCTATATATCACAAAATTGTAGTCAACTACAATTATTTGTTTAGGTTAGGTGTAACTGAAATGTTTAAATATTGTCTTGAAAACGATACACAAGTTCAAGATAAAATGTATGTCAATTTAATTACAGTTCGTCAACTACTAGCATGGACTAATATAAATGGTACCTAACCTCTAAAGTAGCGAGGTCTAAAACATTTAACTAGGTAAAGAACAATAGTTCGTTTGAAATCGTCTTTTTGATATAAGGAATCCTTGGAATTTAGCCGTGCTTACTCATAAATTAATTTAAAAATCAAAATATTTATTTGTGTAACTAGAGGCAAAGTGGCACATTATATAGTACACATTATATTTTTCATACAGTTACTATAAATCATATAAATAATTAGTCTTTCAAACACTCTACAACACGTTTTTAGGTCAGGTTAAATCCAAACATTGAACTGATGGGAAACGCTCCACCAGCTGATCGTAGTCCTATTATCTTTAAGTGTTGGTGTTGCCAACTTATTTTCAAACGTACACGGATTACGTGCATAATAAAAGTACGCTGTTTTGTGTTGTTTGGTTGGAATACTGGTGAGCGGCAAAAAAAACTGTGCGACAAAGTAAAAGGTGCGCTGCAAGAGTAAGTAAATGCAGCAATTAGCAGTTGTCTGTACTATAATAAGTGCAAGGAAGCCCACTTTGTCGGGTGACTGTAGGTAACACAATTTCTTATCTCATAGCGCCCTAGATATTTAAAGTATTAAAGTATTAACTGACCTCATCTACCTGAGGAATCCGTTATGGAAATTTCAGTATCTCTGCCCCTCTTAAAAACACCCTTATAATCCTTTCTAACTGTTGTGGCATTTTCAGAGTGGATTACGGTCATAAAACTTCGTGTCATTTTTAGTTCATCAAAATCACACTTCTCATCCCATTGTAAAATCCGAAGCTTGTTTTTTATGTCTGGCTCATGTTGGTGACACTGAGCTCTAGTGTCGTCAACAATTGTTTCTCTAGGGATAATTTTATGCTTTGTAATTTACATTTTAATCAGCTGATCAAAAAGGATGACTTCTACTAAGGGAGTATGTTTACTCTATGTTACTATGCAACCTTAGCCGAAGATATTTGCCAGCTGTTGACACATTATTGGTAATACAATATTGCAAGTAGTGTTTATTGGCTCGGCTGTCTGTCTCTTCTAGATACTAGGGTCTAGTGTTGCCAATGTGGTATCTATGTGACGATGTATATTACCACTACATGCCAAACATAAGGATGTACATCGTGGCATACTAATGTTAGTGGAGCACATACAATAGTGTTCGTAGTATTTACTAAATAATTGAGATGGTTATACGTAGTGAGGATAAAGTTATAGCATATCGCTTACCTACAATAGCCACTCGATGTAGTCTAGTCTATAGTATTGTATTGCATTGTATTGCATTGCATTGCATTGTATTGTGTTGTATTGTAATGCTTATGTCGTGATACAGTACTATCAGTACTTCTTTAATATGTGAGATGGATTTTACACAACTCTAGTTTTACACTGATAGTTATGTTCTGGGTTTAGAATACGTTCTATATGTAACACTAATAGGTAACATTAAATAGAAGATCTCTAAAATATAATTGAGGTTTCTACAAACAATCTAATCAGAAAATGGGCCAAGCCTTGATCATTATTCTATTTTTCACTAAACTCTTTTACGGTATCGTTTTTACATCACTTCAGCCTAGGACTAAGGTTTGCGGCATTATCACTTAGATAAACTCGATTGGTGATTGGCGGGATTTGAACCCGCTACCTTGGTTACTGAAGTCCCACAATTTACTAAACCTGCTAAAGAAATAGATAATCTTAGCAACAAGGCGTCTCACTCTATATTATTATCTGATTCCCCATTGATATATGGGTTAAATACGCGTAGTTACGTCCCCCAATGTTGGTAATATAGCAAAATGGTAAAACAGTAAAATGGTAAAATAGTAAAATAGGAAATTGGTAATATAGTAATTCCTTATTGCAGATTCACAGTGCGGGGCGGATGAGGCCACTTATTTTATTGCTGACTCTACAATGGTTGGGGTAAGTGCCCCCCCCCCTCCCCCTACTCATTAGCTTACATGTCTTTGCATCCACCCTTAGTTATCATGTAGGCCGTAATGTAGATGTGTTGTCCTTTACATTAATGTCAAGTTAAGCTGGAAGTTGTTAAGGATGTCATACAGGGTAGATAATGGACTGAACTGTGTCACTTATTGATATATCAGAAACTATAAGATTTAGAGAAAGAATTAAAAGGAGGACTTCAACTATTAGTCATATATGGCAATAAAATATTAATTCTACTTTTTCAAAAATAACCACAATTTTATTTAATTACATTTTTTAATTATATTCCTTATGGAAATTATATGACTTCTACAATGAAAATTGAATTTGAACACGTTTTTACGACTTTATTCTGTATTGTTACTTGTTTCGGAGTTGCTGTACAGATTCTGTATCCTGTAGCTGCTAATTGAGCTAGGAGAGGAAATGCAAAGCATAAACCAGTTTTTAAATTGCATCTACATTCTAAAAGATTTTAGGAATATTCGATTGCTGACTCAGCTGACTTATTTCAAATACACTGCAAAATAGAACGAGTGAATATCGATAAAAATATACACTTTTAATCTCGTGATCAAGTTGACACATAAGAGACTTATTTTTTTTTAACATTGACATATTTCAAATACTTTTTCTGGTCATGATTGTTTCAGTTTAACTAGCAGCCAACAAGCCAAAAACCTTGATAAAACTAACAAATATACTATTATAAACAATTTAATTCAAAATGATAATACCGGGTCTTACCTGTTAATTTGTTAAGACATTTATAGGAACAGAACCTAACTAGGCCATAGAGTCTGAAAATGGGGCGTATGAAAAAGTAAGATAATTATAGAATAAAACCTTCCCTGATTGCTAACTGATTCTGAATTACAAAGTACCGGTAATTAAAATGAAAATTAGATTAGTTTATGAATTTTAAAGATATAACATTTTGTGTGGCGTTATGTACTTATAGCTTAGAGTTAGTAAATCAATGACAAAGTGACAATAATTGTTATACAGCAACAAGTATTTATAAATATGTCACAATGGCGACACGTTTCGACGAGAGTCGCCGGTCATCATTAGGCCCAGTCTCCGATTGTAAAAAATCTATTTGTATATTTGTTCGAATTACTCTGTGATTTTTTCCGTAAACAATTTAAGGTAAAATGTCAATCAGTTGTAAAATACACCTTTAGAAGATACTTTATTTAACTTAAGGTCATAATAGTCTAGTTATGAATGAAATGTAGTGAAGCAATGAATGAAGTGCAAAGCGTCTACCAAAATACTCTATTAAGCCTCAACTTTACACAGCAAGGTCAAACGTATTTGAGGAACAACTTTTTATATGCCTTAGGTATTGAAAAGTGTTCTATGTGAAAATTGATCATAGTGTCGAAATCAACATCAACTTAATACTTTCTATGAACGAGTATAAGGAAGAAAAGTAATGGTAAACTAGTTTAACAGTTGTTTACTTTTGTTTTTGACATTTTTCATCTAACTTCCTAATGCACAAGATAATGCCATAAAAATAAAATATGATTTTATTATTTTAATTTATTTAAATCTAAAATCAACTTGCATTGTTCGATAACCAAACTGTAATCAACATTTCAACATATATCTGCAATCTATTTCCATCCCACCATTTTACACACGTGTTTTATCCCTGTTTGCAAAATGTTCCCTGGAAAACCTATTTAGGAGAGCGGCCTTTGAGCATTCGTTTTAAATGTGATTTGGAATCGGCGCCTTTGACAGACAGGCTAGGTGATGCAAAATAAACATAGTTTCGAGCTGGGTGATTTTAAGTAGTCGTAATATATGTCAATAAACATTTCAACATGAAAAGGTTTTGGGTTTTTTTTATAACATTCATAATTGTTCTTGAAATAAACCTCTAAATATGCTATTGTTATTTTTATTCTGATCTTAACTATTTGATGAGGGACAGATGTTTTAAAATGCAATGTTTAATGGTACAAACATTATTAAAACTAAGGCTACAAAATTCTTCAGGGGGTGGGGATTCGTGTAAACTGTGTATCAAAAGATTTATTTTAGGCCTTATATAACATTCAATAAGTAAATTGTAAATTAAATAATAATTTGGAAGCAATAATTTAGTAAGATTTTGATTCTGATTATTTTTTCTTTCCTTTGGTTGGTGTTAATGAAATGTAGGTAGGTATAGTACCAAAATGGATGCTGATGGAGTCTATAGTCTTAGTAAATAATAAAAGGAATTTTCTCACCAATCTTCAATACTTTGGGCAATTTGTCTTCAGGATAGTGTAAGTTAATTCTTCTTTCTTCAATTAATTTCAATATTAGACAACACTTTATTAGCGAATTTCCCTATAGGGAAGTAGGTGGCACGGTAAGACCTAGACCCGGGACCGATTTACTTTTTCATTTTGATGTCCCCAGAGGCCAAAAACACCATTCGTTCAAATTTTTATATATGTATATATATAGAGAGAGATTTATATATATATATATATATAGATTTATATATATATATATATATATACGTCCGTGAACGCGATAACTTGAGTAATTTTTGTCCGATTTTGATGAAATTTGGTTTAAAGGTGTAAAGCAGGATAAACATTAATGAGTTCGCGAACCAGCATGATCGGACCATGGGAACGGGGCTTTACAGGGGGTTTTATGGGGTAAAAATTGGTTTTTCTCACTTTTGACCCTCAAAACACAAAATTTCCCAATTTCTCTTTAGACCTTTTTAAAGAGCTTAAAAAAACAAATCATTTAGTATATAAAAGTATTTTTGTTCGGTTATTAGTAACGGAGAAAATTAAAAAAATTGTAAATTTAAAATTCCCATGTTATTCTAATGGAAAATATTGTCAAATGTTGTAGTTTGCTTGTTTATGGATATATTTTGATCAAACTTGGCAAATTTATTTATTTTGTACTAAGCTATCAATATTTTACTAAAAACACACTTTATTAGTTTCCTTGTAGCAGCAAATCTAGGTACTCGTTACCCCTAATGTTATTAAAATATATTTAATTGAAAATCAATTCAGACAAATGGAAATTCGCTTAGTCGGCAGGTTTCCTGCGGCGGGGGTATTTTATAATTTAAATTATTTCTCAATTTAATTTAGCACAGCTTTATAATTGCTGTTGGTCTGTTCTTGATGTAAACCTTTTCTTCGCTGTTCATTGTTGTCAATCATTTCTTCAGTTATATGGGGTTCACATATTTAAAATATGGGTTCAAATGTGTTTGTAATCTTGAACCCAGATGCATGGTATTTAATTGTAGAAGTTGTTTGGAATAATAATTTTGATAAGCCAATGAATAAATTTTATTACCGGTATAAATTATAGATATGTCGAGACAATATGGTTTTACTAATATTAACACATGTTATTTGGGGATATATAGGCAAATACATTTTTACATTATTTTCACAAGATAAACATGAATAAATATTAAAAATATAAACAAGATTTAGTTTGGAATTTAATTAATTACTATATTTATTTACAAACATTGGTTTTTCAGTCATTACATTCTGTTGTTGATTGAATAGCTTATAGATAACTTAAGTTAGTTACATTTATTAAACAACAATAAAAACTTTAACTGGTCATTAACTTACTAGATGGATACGAATTTTACATTTATTTAAAATGAGGGTGTTTTATGTTAAGAACTAGACATATTTTGCAGGTTTAAATTCATGGATGTGTTATAGGATAGTTTGCGACTAAAATAAAAAACAAGGATCGTAATCGAGCTCGTTTATTTTATATAATAGGATCCAATAGTCAATGATAATACTGTTAACCTAAACCATTATTCGTGTGAAAATGAAACTGATCGTGTTAATACTTGTCCTGTATTGTTGTTGAACGCAGAAACACGAAAATATAATTATGAGCCGATTGGTAACATCTCCCTCTGACATTTTATTTTCAACTTAATTTCAATTATATCTCGAAAAGAACACACTGAAAAACTACCAACGAAGACTAGGAATTATGATTAAAATTAAAATATGTTGATAATTTTTGTTTTGGTGAGTCTTATATTTGCATTTTAATATTCTTACATTGACTTTTTAGGTAACTGTAGATATCGTAGAAAATCCCATTTTGAATCTATATTATCTATCTAAGTTGTATAGTAATCTATCTATTATCTATCTCTATTATCTATCTATCTATGTCTATTATCTATCTACCTATATCCATTATCTATCTATTATCTATATAATAAGTTATCTATCTATCTATCTAATTTAATCAAAACTTTTTTTCTTTAAGATACCTAATGTCAACTATCATCTTACTCTATTATCGTTGTAGAAATCTTTAATTTGAACTTGTAAATGTGTAAACCACGTTAGACGATTTTGATATCAAAACATTGAAAACAGTGGAAATATTTTATGTACTGTATTATAAAATCTTCGAAAACCATAGTAGAATGTTAGAAAGATGGTAGAGACCTTTTGGTATTACCGTAGTAGTTATATCGATGGTATTACCTTAACAACGCTTTTAACACAACGTAGTTGGTATTCTAAAAGCGGAACTCTGTTGAGCTAATTCAATAACTTAAAGTAATCAGTCTTAAGACAAAAGTCTCACTTTACGCTCCCAACTTATTCCTGAATTTTTTCACGGAGGATAATTGTTGCTTGATATTAAAATAGTAGTCATTTTTTGCTGATATTTTAATTTTTTTTTATCTGTATAAGTAGTTTGCAGACATCCGGCAGTGAATGTGAAGATAGTCTTAGCATACCCAAGCCATATATTAATACGCGTTTTGGATGGTTGAAAGTTTTAAACTAAAAAACACACGAAACGCAACATTTTAGGCCCGTATTACACTATCATAGTTCTATGACATATATCTATTATCATATGTCTTTGATGAAAATTATTACAGTGTAATGTACCAACTATTATAATGGTTTTGAACTATGATAATATGTTCTCCTTGAGAGAACATATTATCATATATTTGATAATATAATATGTCATAGAACTATGATAGTGTAATACCGGCCTAACACTTGTCGACCATTCGCTGACCATGCGGCGCCGATGGAAGGCGATATACATCGCGGTTACGTGTCATAACCGTCGATGACCTCAAGATGTGCTTTTTTATCGTCCAAATGACAAAAACTGACCCTACATCTACTTAGGACTAGCCCGGGTCTTAAACCAAAGGCCAACCCTTAAGAACCAGGGTAATATGGAAAAATGTAGTAAAATAACAAGAAGGTATTTTACCAAATTATAATGAGGTAATGTAAAGTAATTCTCGTCAACAGGAACGAAGCAGTTTCCAGCTTCGACGCGTCTCGTCTAGTGATCCAACACGTGTACCGAGGCAATGACTCTGAGGCCGCAGTCTGGACCAACAGTCGCCTCCAGAACCTTCTGATGACCCAGAGGCCCGCGGGCCGCGAGGGCGAAGCCCCCAGGATCGACCGAGGCACAACCGTCTACCGCAGAATACTCTGACATGCCGACAGCGACTTCTCCAGAAACATCTCCCACCTTCTGGAGAATCTGCTGAAGAACTACGAGCGTTCTGAACTGCCAAATCATGGAAAAGGTAGAGTTTACTTTTACCCTTACTTTACCGTTTAGGGTGTTTTATTCCTCCAGGTTCTAATTAGGAATATTTCGACATCACTTTAGGCTAAGTCTAGTTGAGGGGTTGCACTTAATATTCCAGGCTCTAGCCTGGAATTGTTTCCACATTACCTCAGGCTAGGTTTACTTGAGAGGTTGCAGTATTGAATTCCTCCAGGTTCTAGCCTGGAATTATTTCCACATTACTTCAGACTAAGTCTACCTGAAGGGGTGCAGAAAAGAATGCCTCAAGGCTCTAGCCTGGAATTTTTTCCACATCAGGCACTTCAGGCTAAGTCTACTTGAGGGGGTCACGGCATTATCACTTGGATAAAATCCATTGGTGTATGGCGGGATTTGAAACCGAGACCTCAGGGACCAAAGTCCCGCGCTCTTCCATTAGACTACGCTCCCCGTAAAAGGAATTTTAGGAGGATATATTTGACATAATTTGGAAGTCAACTTTGAACTACTCTTGGGATTCCAACTAACCAGTCTTGTTGGTACGGTAGTCCGTTATATAATTTCTTTATTAATTTTTCATTCGACATTATAAAATTGAGCATTGGTCATAATTAGCCATTGACACTGCAAAAACGTAAAATTACTCTAAAATAACCATAAATATTTACACATACTGTATCTTGATGGAATAAGAGAACCCATTTTTTTAATATCTTCTAATCTATTAATTTTACAGTGTAGACAACAGTCCATAATGGAATAAAAGCTTGATTCTATTTCCACAATATTCTTCTTTAATTTAATGATTTATGAGAAAGTGAAAGTTTAAATAATGTTGATGTATGGAGATTGAAAAACATTAACGTACTTCTAAACATACAAAACCTTATGGTCCATTTTACACATCCTTATATTTCAATAACGTATCTCTATAAGCTTAGGATCCCCAAGTTCGATAAAGCTCTGCCGAAACAAGGGCAAAAGTTTGGAGAGTAAAGTCCATTTTGTGGTGAAGGCTTCAGAGTTTGCAGTTTTGGATTTCACTGCCAACGCGCGCTAAACTTGGCCGTAATGACATACAACACACATTACACAATTGCGTCTTAGAGGAGTCGTGTTTACATTGAACACGTCTGAATGGACAAATAAATATTCCAAGTGTAAAAAGTAACAACAAAGCTACAAAAATATTGTTATTTAAGGTAATATTGCAAATATTTTCCATCACGATTAGGAAAAGATGTTGTAATCGTCGGAAGATTTTCACTACATTTCGTGGTCTGATAATCAACACCGTCCTCAGGTGAAAAAGTAAATCCCTGGTACTAAAACATAACAAACCTCAGTTACTACTAATTACTATTTTTCAAGGTTTTTAGTTTCAATACTATACAGTTATCTGTGTGGCTTTTTCCCATTGTGACTTTCCATCTTCGGCCTGGTTTGTGTAAAAATCTTGAGGTACTAAATCACCTGATGCCGGTAGATCACAAGATCCCGAAACGTCGTGAATACGAAAACAGTGTCTTTCACTTATCTTGATATCAATTACCCAATTATCTCTTGCAGAACATTACCTCACCATTATTAAATACCCCCGCCGCAGCAAACCTGCAGACTAAGCGAATTTCCATTTGACTGATTGGATTTACACTGAAATGTCTACTTAAAAATATAACATTTATTCTCTATTTAAATAGAATTAGTTTAACTAGTACTTAGGTTTGCTGCATCAGGGAGAGTAAAACTGTTTTTTTTTTTTTTTGTAAAACGGTAATAGTTAGTAAGAAATAAAAACATTTTCCAAATTTGATCAAAATATGTTCATAAACAAGCAAACTACAACAATTTACTTATTCTCCATAAGAATAACATGGGAATTTTAAATTTAAAATTTTTTGGAATTTTATCCGTAACCATTAGGCGCATAATAACGCTTCAATATACTAAATTATTTGTTTTTTTAAGCTCTACAAAATGGTTTGGAGTGAAATAGCTAAATTTTATGTTTTTTGGGTCAAAAATGGGAAAAACCTATTTTTACCCCATAAAACCCCCCGTAAACCCCCGTTCCCATGGTCCGATCATGCTGGATCGCGAACTCGTTCGAATAAACATAGGTTTACACGTTTGTACCAAATTTCATCAAAATCGGATCATTTTTGCTCGAGTTATCGTGCTAACGGACACATATATATATATAAATATATAAATATATAAATATATAAATATATATATATATATGAATTTGAACGGATGGTGTTTTTGGCCTCTAGGGACCTCAAAATGAAAAAAAAATCGGTCCCGCGTCCAGGTCTTACCATGAGTACTACGGTAATAGCTTATTCCCTATATGGGAAATTCGCTAAAATGAACATCGAACAAATAATATGAAAGTATTCTTAGTCATTTTATCAAATCTAAATAGGTTAGTACTAATTTAGGCCTACATTCTTTGATTAAAGAATATCTATATATTAATATGCAAGCATATTTCTTTAAAGCCTTTTTTCTCAGCTCGTGTGCATCGCAGGGAAAATCTACGCATACTGTTAGAAAGATATTTTTAAGTAGATGTGCATGGTATGTTTATAATTTTAAATAAGCTTAAAAATAAACACGAACATTTTATTAAAAAATTTAAAAAATTAACAAAGGCTTTATGTGTTGCCATGCTTGTGACGAAATAACAACTAAATATAAACAGAAAATCAAACCTGTTTTAATTACAACGTGGGGTGAAAATAGGGAAGTTTGACATTACATATTTTTGGCGACCTCTATAACTCCGCACCAAAGCTGGTGGCGGCTGAGGGATTAAGTCAACCCATTGAAGAGTAGATTTAGTCAATGGTCAAACTGAAACAATTGGGCATTCCGATTTTCATTTCTCTATGTTCTAGTCCACGGGATAGTTTTCCACATTACTTCAGATCAAGTCTAGATGGGGTCAGGGTATCATAAAATCCATTGGTGATTGGCGGGATTTGAACCCGGGACCTCGGGAACCGAAGTCCCGCGCTCTACAACTAGATTAGCTCGCTCCATCGAATGGGGGAGTTTGGGCTGTTAGAGCAACATTAAGGTCCCGGTAAATTGTCATGAAATCAATATTTAAAATATTTTAACTAAAAATATTGTATAATAGTATTGTATAATATTTAATATTTACTACTTATAGTTTATTTAGTTATCTGTATATTCACGAAACTGTACTAATATCCTCTCTGATATCAAGCCATGCCATGTCATCTTAAAGACATCATAATAACAAATAAGATGCCGTCATATGTCACCTATTGACTCGTGGCTTCACTTTAATGTTGGATCTCAATTTTCCAGGTAAACGTATCCTTTTCATAACCAAACAGAAAAAGTACAACTATCCTCCTTAATGTTCACTGGCTAAAATATTTGAATATTTCAAAATAAAAATTATTGAACATTTCATAAAACAATAACTTTATAATGTTTGAATCTAAAGAATTATTTAGATACATTTTTACATTTTATTCCATTGTTTATGGTCTTAGAACAATGTCATTTACAGTCATAAAACTTATTGTTTTTTCTGCCACTGCATGATCACATTGCCACACCTGTAAACAGAAGGCAAAATAGCTCATTTACGCTCTAGAGCAGGAATTCCCACTCGCTAAATCCGCTCATTTCACTGTTGTCGTGTCTACTCTAACTACAGCCGCGGATCCGGTACGTTTGTTAAAAACTGTTTTTTATTTGTTGTTGTTGCAGTTTTGAATATCGGTTATAAATAAACATTATGTTGAATGTGATAACAAATACTGTGTATTTATAGGCCACTAGCTGTAACCCGCGGGCTTTGCCCAGTTTAACTTCTTACTTTTCAAGATGATCTCGTTCGCATGGCTCAATCACGTCCTGGTTGAAGTTCGTTCGCTACGCTAACTCACCTTTAGGTTGGAGTTATTTTGTTACATAATACTTGTTTATTGTTTACACTTGAATAATTTACAATTCATTTGTTTACTTTTCAATAAAATATCTATCTATCTATATATTAATAGGCAAGCATGTTTCTTTAAAACCTTTTTTCTCAGCTTGTGTGCATCGTGGGGTAAATCTGCGCATACCGTTAGAAAGCAATTTCCCTGTAGGTGTGCAGAATCCCTTTATAAATTTAAATAGGCTCAAAGATAAGCACAAAAAGTGAGTTAAAAAGTTTGAAAAAAATAACATGGATCTTATGCGTTGCCATGCTGGTGACGAAATAACAACGAAATATAAACAGAAAATCAAAACAAATGGAAGAAACTCCAATCACATGTTTTATTTACAGTGTGGGGTGAAAATAGAGAAGTGAGTACATTACATATTTTTGGTCGAATTTCGACCACTGGACGACCTCTCGTTTATATTATTCTGTAACACAGACTATTGAACTAAAGGAGGTACAACTGTACTGGTTTTATTTCAAGTCAATGCAGTGGTCGTGTAATTTTGTTAAAGGTACTCTTCTGAGTTTTTGTCCCGTTGCGAATAGCGAGTGAAGAAACCAGATAATTACATTTATTTTATGACAACAATACAAAAAATATAAATTTAAAAGCAAAACAACATTACCCTAGCTGATAAAATGAGAGATAAAGTAGATGTAGACTAAAATACAAGTACGTCCCATATATTTACAATGTCAAATACTGCGTGCAAGTTAAAAATAGTTGTTAGCAATCAAGAAATTACAACGTCGCGTCGCACCATGATTGTTGTATTTTTATTAGTGTTGTTGGTCAACTGGGGAAAATGAGTCGGCAGAAGTTTTAATGATCTGAAAGTGAAGGTAGTAAAACAAAGAACAAAATAAAGCTTTCAAACGATCCGCAACGCCTCATGGGGAATCATGAAAATACCCCGTTAGTTATGGTGTAAGAAGATGAGCACGTATCATAGAACGATCCTCGGGGACAAAGTATTGAATCACGTACACTTTTCCTATAATTCGACTAAGTTTGTCACCTTAGACAGATTATGTGTCTGAATCTATTTATATAATTTTCAAACTTATAGAAGAGTATTAGGAATGAATCACGAAAGTATATGTTTATGACAATGTATAAACAAGAATATCCTATACAGTAGTACACTTTACACTTATGGCTGAGTAGTTGAGGGGTCTTTGTTCGCCTGGTGTTCAAACTGTCACCGCCGGTTCGATTACTTCATCAGTTGCAGCCATATTGGATTTTATTCCCATAAGAGCAATGTTTAATTTGACAGAACATCATTTGAAGCAGCATGTTGGTGTTATTTATAAAGAAGTTTTGAAAATGTATAATTAGGCTTATAACTTGGTATACTAGGAAATCAGGAATCATTGTTTTATCACAAGAGGTTTCTTTTTGAAATTCTGATACAATGTTAACATTGCTTTTATGTGACTCTAAAATCCAATATCGCTAACACTGATGAAGTCTCTTTGAGGGTCCCAAAAAATGTTCCTTAGTTGCGCCCAAGTCCAAGCCAGGTAGGGGTGAGTTGCCGGCAGAAGGAATGTCCTGTTTTACATGACGTCATCCTAACCTGTCCTAAACTAACCTAATCTAACCTAACTTAACCTAACCTATACAGTTTTTGTTCTCCGCAGTAGCCTTGGAGGTCTAATTGTTCGAAACTATGTCCAGCTGTGTAATCATTTTGCTTATAATAAAAGCTTTCACTCAATAAAAAAGGTCCTGACTTTTAACAGCTGGACTTAGTGACAAAGCTACACAAGACATCACACTCCTTCCTACACCCACCCTTTATTCATATTTGGCTTAGAGTAAATAGTTAACTCAAATAGAACTGGCGGTTGATTAATACTAGCTGGCCTATTTAAAAAAAAAAACATATCCTTCTCCCGTCAGTTCTATTTGCGTTCCCATTATAATCGTGGATTGTAATAATAACTTATCACTTTAAATTATCGAATAGAGTCATTGAATATATAACTCAATAACGCTCTCTACAACATTTGGATCAACCTGATGTGTTGTTTTCCTATAATATGTTGAAAATGTTGCACCAAGAGAGGAATGAGAAGCAAACATGTGGTCAGCTGCAACAGACGCGGGAAAACTCTTAAGGCACGCGAGAATTCTTGTCATGTAGCAGCGCTGTCCGGATACTTCACATTTCATACAGTTTAACATATTAATTTTTAAATATGAAATTCCACTTAAATACTTTAGAGTGATAAATTAATAGATAGGCGATAATGGTTTTGTATTACTCGAGTTTTAGTATCAACGTTTCTTTTCTCTTTTTATACACAAAATTTGTAGGTTAATACATAATTAACTGTATATACTCAACGACAATGAACACTGTTAGGTGATGAATGTTGGTGAAGAATGAATGTGACGAGTGGAGAATATTAGTATTCCTGTCCATATAACTCTTGGAAGAAACTTTGACTCTTTCACTCAATATACAAGACTACTTTGACATCGTAGACTTGAATATATAGTTGCTTTCTTTAAGTTAGAAAATAAATTGAATTTTAACGTTACTATAGCACGAATTGTAAATAAATTATAACATAGCATAAACTATTCTAGTGATTTTCAGGAGTGATAACGAGAAGTGAGTTAATAAATAAACATTGTTATAAAATAAGTCTATGAGAGTGTGATACAATGCCAATTTATCTTTTTAGCGAATTTCCCATATAGGGAATAAGCTATTACCGTAGTACTCATGGTAAGACCTGGACGCGGGACCGATTTTTTTTTCGTTTTGAGGTCCCTAGAGGCCAAAAACACCATCCGTTCAAATTCATATATATATATATATATATATATATATATTTATTTATATATGTATATGTGTCCGTTAGCACGATAACTCGAGCAAAAATGATCCGATTTTGATTAAAGTTGGTACAAACGTGTAAACCTACATTTATTCGAACGAGTTCGCGATCCAGCATGATCGGACCATGGGAACGGGGGTTTACGGGGGGTTTTATGGGGTAAAAATTGGTTTTTCCCATTTTTGAACCAAAAAACATTAAATTTAGCAATTTCTTTCCAAACCATTTTGTAGAGCTTAAAAAAACAAATAATTTAGTATATTGAAGCGTTATTATGCGCCTAATGGTTACGGAGAAAATTCCAAAAAATTGTAAATTTAAAATTCCTATGTTATTCTTATGGAGAATAAGTAAACTGTTGTAGTTTGCTTGTTTATGAACATGTTTTGATCAAATTTGGAAAATGTTTTTATTTCTTACTAACTATTAACATAAAAAAAACAGTTTTACCCTCCCTGATGCAGCAAACCTAAGTACTTGTTAAACTAATTCTATTTAAATAGGGAATAAATGTTATATTTTTAAGTAGACATTTCAGTGTAAATCCAATCAGTCAAATGGAAATTCGCTTAGCCTGCAGGTTTGCTGCGGCGGGGGTATATTCATACTGTCATAGTTCATGGAAAATTCAAAGGTTGCTATAACTTAGGGCCTACAGCTGTTCTTTCATTTTTGCATGATTTAAGTGCAAACGAAATTTATCTGTTATAGACTGAAGATTAATCTATGTAGGCTACATTACTTAAGCATTTTCTGGGTTACATTTATTTTTCAGCCATCCCATTCAACAGATTTTTCACAATTGAGGTGCCGTTGAGGTGCTTAATGATCAGCAGAGGGACGATGAATGGTAAATTAAAAAGGTGATTTAATTTAGGGCTTCGCCCCTCTAGATTTGTTTTTTTAAAGTCGGTTTTATAGATTTAGGGGTGCTGACTAACTTTCTTTATAAAGGTTTTAGTTGTTAATTTAAATCACACAGTTTCAGTTGAATGTTTATGGTTAGGCAAACAGGAGACAAAACTGATTATGAAAATGGATTATAAATATGATAGTTTTTGATGACTGTAACCAGATCGAGGTAAGTAAATACTCTTCACATTGTAGTCTAAAAGGAAAAAAATAACTCATCGTAAATCAGTAGGTTTATTCACGTAAAAGCGTATCGGATTATTAGTTTTACCATTGTTTTACCTCTAAATCAAACACTATTAAAATGCACAATTTGCGGACGGGTCCCCTAGTAATTTTTAATTTCCTTTATTTAATTAACCAACAGTAAGAACCTTATTTTAGATATACTAAAAAGTATTTATGTTTATAAATTGTAAAACCCATAACCCAAGTGAATTTTAAAAAGTTAGTTCAGTATGGAGTATTCAGAAAACCAACGTTTTATTTTATTACTTGTAAAGTTGTTTTTACTTTAAAATCCATAACAATTTTTTAGTTGAAAGCGTACGTTGAGGAACCCAATACACGTCTGGCATACTTGGATGATATTCAACTGTATATTGAGATCGGATTATCTGCTTCTGTGCCATTCACTTCTTGACTGAATCCATTCCTTGGTAGATTCAGATTGCAACCGAAGAAACTCATCGCAATACATTCTGATGCTACAGCATGTTTATTTTTGTTAAAGCATATACCTATAGTTTAAATGTTGTTATTTTCTTAAAATGCTACAAAACAAAGATCAGTTTTCTATTTTTGCACATTGAATATGCTGTAAAATTTAATTTGTTCAAGGACATAATTTTCTTTTGTTTATTTGTGTTTGAAAATTAAAGCCGTTCCTAGTATTTAAAAAAATTTCTTGTTGCTAAATTATAAGTAGCCTATTTTGTATTTAAAAACATAGTAGATGTGGTTCACACCCTATTCACAGATGGTACATTAAAACAAACTAGATGTCGTCCAGAGGTCGAAAACTCGACCAAAAATATATATGTAATGTACAGACTTCCCTATTTTCTCCCCACGCTATAAATAAAACATGTGTTTGGAATTTATTTCATTTGTTTTGATTTTCCGTTTATATTTCGTTGTTATTTCGTAACCAACATGGCAACCCATGAGGCCCATGTTAACTTTTTTCAAATTAAAAAATTCATTTTTTGTGCTTATTTTTGAGCCTATTTTAATTTAAAAAGGCTATCTGCACATCTACAGGAAAATATCTTTCTAACAGTATGCGTAGATTTTCCCAGCGATGCACACGAGCTGAGAAAAAAGGTTTTAAAGAAACATGCTTGCCATTAATATATAGATTGAAGATACAGTATCTATATATATAAAAACATTATTATTGTTTGTGTACAACAAAAAGTTACTAGAGGTCGTCCAGTGGTCGAAACTGAACCAAAAATATGTAAGTTAACGTAAAGACTTCTCTATTTTCTAGGCTGTAAATCAAATACCTTTTGTGAGTTTGAAAAAGGTATATGATTGGATTTTCTTCAGTTTGTTTTTATTTTATGTTTATATTGTGTTGTTATTTTTCACCAGCATGGCAACCCATAAGGTCCATGTTAATTTTTTTAGAATTTTAAATTCATTTTTTGTACTTTTTTGAGCCTATTTTAATTTATGAAGGGATTCTGCATATCTACAGGAAAATTTGTTTTCAACAGTGTGTGTAAATTTACTCTGCGATGCACACGAGCTGAGAAAAAAGGTTTAACAGAAACATGTTGCCTACTAATATATAGATACTAAACCAAGTTTCAATAAAACAACAATGGTTATTTATTGCTTACTCAATCACGGATATATTTTCCAAACCATATGTATTGTTTGTTTCAGCAAACCTTATTATACACAGAAACAGTTCAATTGTTTGAAAAAATATGTATACCAGCACATTCAGCACAGTATAATTCTATTTTTTCAGGAGAACCAACAGTTGTCAAAACCAACATTCTGATCCGCAGCATGGGTCCTGTCTCGGAACTTGATATGGTGAGAAAACGTTTAGGTTTCATCTTGCTGACTTTTAACACGTTACTACTTAAGTAGAATCATTGTAGTTTATTGATAGTTTTGTGAGTTTGATCGGGACTAACAATTTGTGACCATAAACACTAGACAAGCCTGTTATTTACGGCATTTATAATTTTTTTCTCTTAAATTATTGATTTTCCCAACTTGAAATAGTGTAATAAAAGTTTTAACAAAACAAAATATATTTCATTATTACTAAAGATAGTGGTTTAAACTGTGCCTTTATATTGATTTTTATAAGAACAAGCATTCAATATCAATTAACTAGTTGAGATTTAAATAATTGTTTTTCAGTAAAAATAATTGCTATATCATCTGTTGAAACTCGCTGAAGATTTTGAACTAAAATAGAGTGGTATTGAACTAATTGTAACTAGTGTACCTGTTGCTCAAATTCGAGCAATTTCGAAGCATTACAGGCGACTCAAAGATTATGGAAATACTCACGATCTACACAACAGTTAGATATAATCAAAATCCTTTGTAAATATCTTATCGTTTTTCAAAAAGCTCATCTTGTTTTTTTTGTCTTTTCTACAAATTTTTCCCTCTCATAGCCGCATTAGGTTGTCTATGACAACGATTATAAATGAAAAAAAAAATTATTTCTATTTCTTCTATTTGGTTGTGTTCTATGACTTTTTCTGTGTTTTTTTTTTCTATGTTGGGTAAGAACAGTGCTGCTCTTTAATTAAAGTGCTTGTGCTGCAAATGCCAAAGATAACAGATATTAGCATCTTTCCATTTTAAAAGGTAAGTTTGTTTCAGACGGGCAAATTTTTATCCTCGAAATCAAAATATGTCCCCACTCACTTGTTCCAGTTAGGACTTTTCATTCTATTAAGTTGTTGACCGTTCTGATCACATGAAGCCTTGTCCCTTTAATGAGGCCCTTTTTGATGTATTAATATTCCTCATCAATAAAACCACTGTCCCCTTTTTATTAGTCTAATCTGTGTCTTGGCAATCCACTGACCTCTATTTTATATTTAAAAACTCAGTTGGATTTTCTAGATGGGTGTCTCCGTCTTCGTCTGTTTTCGAGGACCCGCTCTTCTTTCCCTTGGTATACTGACAATAAATTGTCAAGTCCATGTAGTAATTCATTAATACTGTTAGTTTATAAAGAAAATTAGATAAAAGTTACTTGGCTTAGTGCTATCATAACTGCAAACTCAAAATATACACACAAGTAAAAAAGAATCAAGTTATTGGTTAACAAAAATTATGTTTGTGTAACAATATTATTCACATGAAGTAGATGATTTGTTTGATTTGTTGATCAGCTGTTTAGTTTCAAATGAATTAATATTGTCAAAGATTTGTGATTTTAAATACATAAATTATTATATTAAAGTTTTCTAAATCATGAATGGTAACTTATTCTCGACTGAATTTTACCATTCCCAGCATTAAAATAAAGTAGTAAGATCCATTATGAGTAAACTTTAAGGTACACAATCCTTGATTGAAATGTAATATACATTAACAGTCATAATACTCAGCAATTATTATGTAGTAGACTTTGACTATTTTCAAGAAACAAACATATGTTTCTGTAAATAAAAATTATCTCCCATGTTATCCTTATGGAGAAATACGAAACTTTAAAGGGCCCCAGGGCCTCACTCTCTAATTATTTCCCAAAAAAGAAAGTTTCCTGCACAACTTCAAGTTACGCTCTTTCCAATGACACCAAAAACATGTCAATCGGTTCAGTAGTTTCGGAGGAGTAATTGTCACAAAAAACCTGCTTGCGTATTAAATAAGTACTAGAGGTCGTCCAGTAGTCAAAAAATTCGACCAAAAATATGTAAATAAAATTAAATGAAAAAATTAAAATTATATGAAATGAAAAATTATATATTTATTCAGGCAAAGTTAGGGCCACATGGCCGTTTCTTACACTATATGTACAGTGTTAACCCCACACTGTAAATAAAACATGTGATAGGAATTTGTTTTGATTTTCTGTTTATATTTTGTTATTTCGTCACCAACATGGCAACCCATAACTCCCATGTTATTTTTTTAAGTTTTCAAATTCATTTTTTGTTCTTATTTTTGAGCCTATTTTAATTTATAAAGGGATTCTGCACATCTACAGGAAAATATCTTTCCAACAGTATGCGTAGATTTTCCCTGCGATGCACACGAGCTGAGAAAAAAGGTTTTAAAGAAACATGCGTGCCTATTAATAAATAGATAGACTAGTGTACATGTTGCTCGAAATCGAGCAATTACAGAGAAGTACAGGAGTTGTTTATAAACAAATAACTTGTTTGAAAACTAATAACAGTCATAATATCCAATGATTGTAAAATAGTCGACCAAAAGATTATTAACTAATGGAAATACTCACAATTTACATAACAGTCCTATTCCAGTTTAAAGGGTTAATTTTTGACTATCAAACTGCCCATGGACGGGAAAAGTAAGCTTACAATTTAAGTCAACGTAAAAAGGCTCTCAGCTTTATAATGTATCGTACCTAAGTTATTTGGCCAATTTATAGACGATAAGGTGTAGGCTACTTTAAACTCTACAGGACAGAGTTAGGCAAAATCTGGCAAACTCTGAAATGGTGTTATTTATCATAGGCATACTCATATTCCAAATCCTTAAAATAAAAATTCAATAATTAATAACTTATATCATTAAACACAAACCAACATCCAAAACTATACACATTTTTAATACAACATAGATAAAATCTTGAAAATATGTTTCATAATCATTGAAATAGATTTATAATAAATAATCTATCATCAAGTTTAAGATTAAATAAACCTACCACATAGTTGATTTTTTTTGGATCAGCTGTCTGAAATTGTGAAATAGGCATTTGACAGTTTTGGTTGTTTACACTTAAATGTCAAAGCAAATGTAAACATTGTGAATTTTCTCATGCTTCCATGGAGACCAATTAATATTTAATTTCAGACAACAGCTGGAGTTTCAAAACAATGTTTGTTTCCCATGTTAATCTTATGGAGAAACACGAAACTTTAAAGGGTCCCAGGGCCTCACTCTCTAATTATTTACCTAAAAAGAAAGTTTCCTGCACAACTTCACGTTACGCTCTTTCTAATGACACCGAAAACATGTCTATCGGTTCAGCAGTTTCGGAGGAGTAATTGTCACAAAAAACATGCTTGCGTATTAAATAAGTACGAGAGGTCGTCCAGTGGTCGAAACTCGACCAAAAATATGTAATGTACTCACTTATCTATTTTCACCCCACACTGTAAATAAAACATGTGATTGGAGTTTCTTCCATTTGTTTTGATTTTCTGTTTATATTTCGTTGTTATTTCGTAACCAGCATAGCAACGCATAAGATCCATGTTAATTTTTTCAAATTTTTAAACTCATTTTTTGTGCTTATCTTTGAGTCTATTTAAATTTATAAAGGGATTCTGCACACCTACAGGAAAATAGCTTTCCAACGGTATGCGTAGATTTTCCCTACGATGCACACGAGCTGAGAAAAAAGGTTTTAAAGAAACATGCTTGCCTATTAATATATAGATAGATAATAATAGATATGTTCTTGACAGATTTTCATCACACAATCTATATATAAAGCCAAAAGTACCCATGAACTTTTGAGAAAACTACAAGTCACACCCCCATAAACCATATACTTAAAATGTTCGTCATGACGAGAAACCTTGCGCAAAATTATCCATTTTTTCATAAGTTGTTTTTTCATAAGGTCGTAATTGATTTCCAAAGGGAACTTTCCATTTACCTAATGTTAAAAATACCTCAGCTGTTATTATTTGTTTGTATTCTGCTTTGTTTATTTCATCTTAACTTAACCAATCAATAGTTTTATTAATACCAATGTAGTAAAATGGGGTGGAGAGCCCGTGGGTGTAAAACAGCTAGTTTTCATCACATCCATTATCAACAATAATACCATTGACGTCATAGGGTTTTCTCCAAATTTGTTTCATGTGATGCACAATTTTCCCATTACAGTAAGAACTTATGTAGCTAAGAACCTGGCAAAGTTTTGGAAGAACTCACTTCTCTATCTAAATTGTTTTATTTTGAATACAAGCTTATTAACTAGGAAAATAGAATCCTCTTACATTCGCTGTATCTTATGCAAGATTAATGTAAAACAAATTATAGGACTTGAAAACTTTGACAAACACCTCTTATAACTTTAAACGACACGTCACAATATTATGAACATTTTGCAGGAGTACTCGATGGACTGCTACTTTCGTCAGTCGTGGAGGGACTCTCGGCTCAGCTACAAAGGACCAATCGAGAACCTCAGTCTTAGCATCAAGATGCTGGAGCGTATCTGGCGACCTGACACATACTTCTACAACGGCAAACAATCGTACGTGCACACCATCACGGTGCCCAACAAACTGCTGCGGATCACTCAGCACGGAGATATTCTTTACTCAATGAGGTGCGTGGTTGGCCAAATGTTTAGACTTCTTTGAGGTTTACAAAACGTCTACGTGAACCTTTTCTAAGGTAGACCAGTAGACGCATTGAATATATTCAATAGGTATAGTTGAAGCCAACATTAGTTATCTACTTGTGAATTATGTAGCATATATTATGATTGTTATTTTTCTTCAGCTATTTACTATCTTTTTGTTGTACATGACAGATCGATCTAAAACCAAACATAAATCCTTATCGTCGTATCTTTTACCAAATTTAAAGTTCGAATTTCAGTTTCATTTCCAAGTAAAAGAGAACAATGTTTAAAAAAGAGCAAGTTTCAATCTTGCTTAGCGCATTATCTTACCATTATACATATTTTTCTCACATTCAAAATGCCATTGTGTCATGTCATCAAAGCTATGTATTTATTATCGTAAAATGGTTTATCTGTACTAATATCTTTGACTGTTAATAATATAAATAGACAATCCATCCCCATTGTTGAGGATAATGGAAAGAGATAAAAAACCGCAAGGTCGGGGTGCCGCAGGGTTCGGTTATTGGTCCCATTTTGTTTTTAATTTTAATTAATGACATAAGTTTCAATTTAGCTTGTAAGAATTGTAAGTCAACCATTTCTGCTGATGGCACCTCTTTTACTTGTTAACCATAGAAATTTAGATGGTATGGAAAATGTTGCCAACTCTGTTTATAAAGAGGAATGTTTGCAGTAAATGGATTGTTTTTAAATTCTCAAAAAACACAGAGGCCATTGGTGACCATGAAAAAGATTCATGTAAACCATCAATTTGTTCATGATTATGTTATGAAAATGGTTTAACGTTACTTTGTATAAAATAAGACTGTATGCATTTCGACTTTGTAAATAAGAAATTGTCCAGATTGTACATTTGTTAATAAATCTAAAAAGACATGTTTCCTGTAAATACTTTTTTGAAAGTGTTATCAGGTACGGTATGGTTTGATAATCTGGGGTAGCGGAGATGGAATTGAAAAAAATTAACAAAACAAAAAATAGCTGTAAGAGTTTTTGACGGACTCAGAAAAGTTAGCCCACTGTAGGCCACTTTTGTCTCATTGGGGATTCTAACTAGGTAAATATTTCCGACGCCCAACTTGCCTAAAACGTCCTAGACGTTGTTAAACTGTTCCTAGACACCAACACTACAACTTTCTTAATTTACTTTTTTGTCACCGAGGCTTCCTTTTTAAATTTAGATTTTTAATAAGAATTTCCCATAAAACCCCGTAAAATAACGGAAAAATAGGATTTTCTCGAAAATGGCCCAAAATGATTTTCTACAAAATTGTGTATGTTATGGTCCTTTAAATTCCGAACAAAATGATACAAATCCCATTTCCGTCAAAATTATGGTTAAAAAATTATTGTCACTTATGTTATTTTCCTATAAAAAAAAACATAAAATAACAAAAAAATGGATTTTTTGAGAAAAGCTATGTTATGGTCTTAATAATAAAAAAAAAAAAATCACCCCATTGCTGTAACAATTAAGGTTCAAGTTATTGCAACTTTTTTTGTTTTTATCTATAAAATATCATATTTACTCTCACCGCTTACCCATGATAAAGGTTGTTGACAAGCTTATGGGAGAAAGTATGTGTCAGAATGCTGATACCGTTTATTTTATTTTTATTTACTGTGATATTTACATGGTGAGCTGTAGGTAAAGATTCCTGACGTAAGTTCAGTAGTTAGCCTAGGGTAAACTTATCAATTTTATGTGAATCAATAGGTATACCTATTGATTCAAATAACAATCTATATAGACTGTTTTTTGCTTTGCTCAAGTACCCTATGTTGTGCGATTCGTTTTTACCTTATTGCCATTATATTAAAGTTCTTCAAATAAATAAACATTTAAGTAAGTGTTTCATTTGAAAATCGCATGAGTACAGTATTTTCATACATGCATCAGCGTCTCATATAATTCGTACTAGGTGGCCTTATAAGTTAGCCTAGCTTTCAAGAAAGATATTTTTTACACTAAAAGGTCCAATTGAATTTTGTTTCTGAAACCAAAGGCGGATGTGTAGCTATTTTATATTACAGATTAAAAAATCTTATTTTCCTCTTCAGTGTCATCTCCGTTGCAAAGCACGGGTACAGCAGCTATAGTAACTTATAAATAAATAATTATTTATTATTCATTTTTAAAAGAATAAATTAAGGATATCATTGTTCTAATGCAGTAGGTCAATAGGAGGGGGGAGAATTTGCTATAATTGTGTCTTAAGCATAAGAAATTATATATTCTTGATTCGACCAACATTACAAACACATCTCTTTTCATAAAAAAAAAAATTAAATAATGTTTTGTAAAAAAATCACCAAAGATATTTATTTACTTTTTACCGAATTATAGTTTAGCTAATACGTTAAAATATTGTAAGCGTTACCATTTTTTTAAGAAAATGAGATTTTAAAGTATGAGTGGTTGTTTATTTAACATTTCACAAACAAGATTAACCTGTAACTTGTAATGTAAAATGCTGTTTATTTTCAGACTGACGATAAAAGCAACATGTCCAATGCAGCTTCAGAGTTTTCCTATGGACTGGCAAAGTTGTCCTCTCCTTCTTGGAAGCTGTGAGTTTTATTATTTTCATTATTTATTTATTAATAAGGATACAATGTATTTTTTTACTCAAAATTTAAAAAAAGATGACTAACTAACTATTATATTAAGTATATTAAAATTGTCTTGAGGTACAATACACTAAACAGGTTCAAACTCATTCAAAGTTTGTACACAACATTAGTCTAAGTATATTCTTGTGAAATTAAGTCCTCCCTATATTACTATCTTAAATTGTCAAATTTACCAAAACAATATTCTTAAAGGATTCAAAATTTATTTCAAGAAAACATTAAGCATGGGTTAAGAACCTAAGTTATGCTACTGCTACGAAATTCAAACAAAAAAAATTTAATAGCACATTAAAACGCTGGCTCTAGGACCACGGGTGCAAGGTGCCATTGTAAAAAATAATGGGCCAAAGGCCACAGCTCTAAAAATGGGACCACCTATTCCAAGTCTTTACTAACCCGTTTTTTTAAAATCTACTTAACTGGTTTACTATATTGGCTTAGAACCCCGTCTCACTTATACATCACACCGAGTTCTCTACCCCTCTAAAAACAAGCACGGATCTGAAGATTTTATTTAAAGGACAACAGGGTTCGTGATTACTTGATCTTTAGTGGGATTACCATAAATCTTCTGGCCCAACCCTGGACACTAATCAATAAGACTGTTATGACCCTTATTCAAAAAGATTTAAGTTTATTTAAAAAGTAAAACATATTTCAATAATATTAAAACCATTACAAGATTTTATCATTGATATTTCCAATTAAGATCGAGAAAAAACTGGTCATTACCCAAATATGAATTAAAAGTGAAAGTACAATGAAACTAGATGATCTGTGTTGGTTTGGGATGGACTAATATCAGTTTTCTTTAGCCCCAGAATCAATTATTGAAACCCTCGTGTGTCGTAAATGTCCCCTCGTGTTAGTTGTCTACTGATGTTTCAATGTTTAGATGCCTACCCATCCCACCAACTGCAGTACCAATGGCAGAGTGCGAAAGCTGTCTCATTCTCTCCTGGTATGACTCTATCACAGTTTGATCTGATGAGCAGCCCTCAAAGGAACTTCACATTCAAGCGCAGAGAAGGTATTTGCAGAGGATACCTGTGACCTGTGATTAATTCAGAAATAATTTTTTCTCCTTGATAAAGAGCTACTAACACATAAAAATTATTATTGAACTTGGAGAGCTGTTTTGCCAGTAGAAAGTTGTTGTCAAATTTAAATCTTCATCCAAAATTCGTGCATATTGGTTGCCCATTTAACATCAGAGTGTAGGTAAAATCCCAGAAGAAAGAACAACCTGTGGAATTCCAAAGTCTAGAATAACATTTTAACAAAAGACTAAATTTCTTCAATTCTCAGAGTATTAAGACGTTAAAGAAAATATTTATATTTTCCTTTTCGGTTAACTCACTAAAAAGGGTTTGTTCTTTTTTTAAATGTTAAACAAAAAATATTGAGGTTATGATTGAGGAAAAGTGTGTCCTGTACTGGGTATACAAATCATTAATTTTAAAACTTTGTACCAGTTTGTCAAACATTTTTTGTTGAGATTTTACCAATGGGGTCATTTTACCAATCTAGGTCATTATTACAATTGCTAGAACCATGATTTCTTCAACCTGAAGTAATGACATTGAGAGTAAAATTGGGGACCTAGTGTACTTCGTAATGTATTTGACTGTATAATTTAAATCGCATCTATACAACATACCAATGGTTTAATGCGGCACATCAGTTGTAGTATAGTAACACAGTATCACTGTTCATTTCTGTAGGAGAGTTTTCATTGCTGCAAGTGAACTTCAACTTGCAGAGGAACACAGGATATTTCCTTATCCAGGTGTATGTTCCTTGTATCCTGATTGTGGTACTGTCCTGGGTATCTTTCTGGATACATCGGGAAGCCACTAGTGACAGGGTGGGACTGTGTGAGTATCCGTAGGATTTATGTTTTTATAGTTGTGGATATTTAGTGTATTACTATACAGTATAACTACCACTGTATCTGATGGTATAGTTGTACAATTTTTATCCTAGGAACGCTTTAAGGAGGTTTAATTTTAAGAATAACACTTAGGGATACATAAAATAAACGTTTAAAAGTTATCAGAAATATTGAAAAAGTCAATACTGTTAGGGGTATTTCAAGCTACATTGGAAAGATGCGGGTGAAATGACTTTGAAGCTCTGTTACAGACCGATCAGCTTATTATTACACATGACGATTAATAAAAGATATGATGACCTCCAGTGTGAACTGCCAAAAAAAGTTCAACCTGTTTATTAAAAATAAGACTATTTTAAGAATAAGAGTATTTATATTCCTTTGAACATAACAATGCATTTGGAATCGCTAATTACACATCTGCAAGAACAATCACAACAGACATTCTATACAAATAAAATAACCAAAAAAGTTGCCTCGGAAGAGAAGAAATATTGGCGTATGACTGGCTAGCTAAAGGCGAATAGCAACAACCTTTAGAAATCTTAGGTGAGTTTGTTGCTTTCTTTGATCACTTATTTGCTCGATTATGATTTCCAGGCTTAATATTTATGTTTCCTCCTGTTAAAGGTATCACAACTGTGTTGACCTTGTCCACCATCAGTTTAGACAGTCGGACTGACCTTCCTAAGGTTCGGTACGCCACAGCATTAGACTGGTTCCTCCTGATGTCTTTCTTATACTGTATAGCTACTCTGCTGGAGTTTGCCGGTGTGCACTACTTTACCAAGGTATGCAACATATGTTACCGACAAGTAAAATAAAATACAATATATTTTATCTTGTTTCTTTTACAGAAGCTTAATTTTTTTGCGTTCCAGGTGGGAAGTGGTGAAATCCCGGTGGACGAAGAAGAGTGGGAAGACGTCGGAGTGGATGAGGTAATTTGTTTTAAAGTTTACTCGAAATAGTAAAAAGTATTGTACTAACAACATTACTACATTGTATTCAACTAACAACATTGCTTATATGATAAATGCTACAAAATATTGATATTTACTAAATAACATTTAATAACTCTGCGACGTACGTTGCGATGCAGTTATATATATTTTTTAAGACTACTTGCTCAAACACACAAAAGCAGACAAAATGTGATTTCAAGAGGTGTATCATAAAGGCTACAATAGTTGTTGTGCAATTCTTTGCACATGAGTGTCAGTTGGAAACAGATATGCCGTCTTCTTGAACTATTTTTGATCAACGAAGTGGATAATAAAAGGAGTTAACACATCTGTGTGTATTCTGGAACATTTTAAATTTGTGATTAAAATATGATATCCACAATCCTTGAATGTTAATCATTTTAATGTTTCAAAAACTCACTTGGAATATACATCAACATCTACACCTACAAACACCAACATCTATCTGTCAAAGCAAAATCGAAAAACAATATTTAGTCTAAAATCAAATAACCGTAACCATATTTCATTTTGTACAGGTGGTAGGTCTGAGTGTAGGGATGGACCTCAGTCGAGCCCGAGCAGGTAGTGACACAGAGAGCCTCACATTCAGAGCTGCGCGTCGTCGCTCATCACTCATATGTCCAATATACAATGTAAGTCGTATTGGCAGGTACCGGTACCAGGTTCCGAACCGCTGATATCGCCTGCCTATATACCTATAGTTTGTCCTAGGTGTGTTCTACCCGATAGGTCTTACAGTAGTATAACAAAATGTCATAAAGAATTGGGAGAATGTTAATGTTGGTGTCTAAGGCAGAAGAATATATATTATATAAGGTACCCCCACTAAAAATTAAAAACTGTTACGAGTTATCAGGGCTAAAAACACCAATATATTAGATGCAAGACTATAGTTCGGCCGCTTAGAACACGACCTGCGGGCTAATGCTAAACCAATGCTGGAGGAGGTCGCTTTCTAAGCGGCCGAACTATAGTATGTAGACTTGCATTAATTTAATTATTCATTTTTTACTATAAAAGACTTTTAATTGGAAGTGGGATAACCAAGCTATCACTTATTTATGCAAGTAAAACACATAAAAACTGCTGTAAATACACCTAACATGTGCTGCAACCTGGAATTCAACATTTAAAATTACTACACTAGGTGATTCTATTGGCAAGGGAACTATGGTGTGTTCTTCCTGGCGAGAAAACTGTATCGTATATTGAGGGTTCGGAATCCAGACTCATTCAGAAATGGGAACAACGCAGGAGAAGATTCAGCTGTCTATGACCAAGTTTGGGAAAATCTAAAAAAAAATATTAGTTTATGTAAGTTTTGTTATTGAATTATCCAATATCATGTAAATTATTGTCAGAATTAAAGTTTAGTTGTACTAAATAAATCACCAAAATGTTCAGTATTAATTAATCCTGTTTTGAGTTCTCTTTTGAAACTCTAGGATGCTATTTCAAAAGAAAAATATCAACATATTTATAATGCTTCCAGGACCCAAGTATAGGAATGACAGGAGGTATAAGCGCATCTCCCAAAAGACTCTCTCTGTCTACAGTTGGCGCTCGAGTGCACACGAGCCGCACGACCGTCGAGCGCCAGACTCAGACTGAGAATCAAGTGCCAAAGTGGAAACAGCTCTTTTACTGTCTTGGTCAGAAATTGTGCATCTTATTTTCTTTATTTTATTCCTATGTTTAAAAACGGAATATAACTACATAGTAGTCTATTGATAATTTGAAATGGTGGGCCAAGAGCAAATAAATTTTAAATCATCAAGAGAGTTGAATAATTATCAACGGGGAAAGATAAACTATTTGAATGACAAAGAGTTTATTTTTTAAATAGTGTATATAAGGGACAGAACTTTACAATTAAATATTTTATTTTAAGTTTGCAAAAAACAACAGCTTATTTTTTAGTTAGCTACTAAAAGATTTGTTGCATTTTGTTTGTTTTTTGCAATTAATTCTTGCCTCATCAATGGCATTATTTAAGATGAACTACTGTGCTAATAGCATGTATAAGTATAGTTGTTATGACAGGAAGGAAACCCTCCCTTCGAATTGTAGAGACTTTGGGTATACTTATATTCTACAATTAATTATTGACATATTGCAGTGGGTTACGAGAACTACCGCAAGCAAAGAGAGCGGGAGGCTACGAGAGAGGTACCCAAACACGTCAACAGTGTGTCGTACATCGACCAGGCTTCGCGCATTCTGTTCCCAACGTCCTTCGCTGCTCTCAACCTCGCCTACTGGATGTTCTACGGCGCTTCGCCTGAAGACTTTCAATGGAAAGACCCTATGTCAGTTAGCCATTGAACACAAATTTATTGGTCTTTTTTATTATTTATTAGAGAGAGCTTTGAGTAATATTTTGATCTCTAAGCACTTTGAGAAGACATTGGAAAGAAAATTAGCTTTGCCAAGCATTCAGTGAGCTATTATAGTAAATTGGTTGATGTCAGAAATATAGTAGAATTCCAACCATCTGGATCCCCCCAAAGGAAAAATAAAGATGTTACCAGTACTACTGACAAAATTCCTTATCAATCTTTTAACAGCTGTCGACAAATTAGGTTTGTCACCAAATTTTAGCGAATTTTCCTATAGGGAAGTAGTTATTACCGTAGGTGGCATGGTAAGACCTGGGCCCGGAACCAATATCCTTTTTAATTTTGATGTCCCTAGAGACCAAAAAACTATTTGCTAAAATTTGAAGTGTTTTTGTACAGCTATTAGCTACTGAGACTATTAAAAAATTGTAAATTTAAAATTCCCATTTTATTGTTATGGAGAATAAGTTTACTGTATTTGTGTATGGATATATTTAAATAACACTTGGCAAATTTATTTATTTTATACTAAGCTATTAATATTTTGCTAAAAAACACACTTTTTTATTACTCTCCCTGTAGAAGCATACCTAGGTACTTGTTAAACCTAATGTTATTTAAATAAATTTAATTGAAAATCCAAACAGGTAAATGAAAATTCATTGTGATGGGACAAACGACTGATTTTGACCATCCGACGTTTCATCCGATAGTCTTCAGATGGATGATTCATTCGATGGTTTTCTAGTGTAGTGGGGTGGGGAGAGTCCGTGCTGCTGCCGGAGACAGATAAAACTATCTGTCCGACTAGAGAATGAATAGATAGACCATCCTGTTCGCGCGCCTGATTAGATAGATAGTTTTAATAGTGTGGCGTTTGCGTTCCTATCCAGCGCCATATTTCGGAGAATTTAACCATTTATGAATAAACAGATAAATCATCTTTTTGAGTGTTTTAGATGTTTTGCCTGATTAAAGAACTAACATTTAGTAAATTACTTCCCTCTTTTATGTATTATTTTTTACAATAAATATATTTATTTACTTTTCATTCGTTTAAAGTTATTAAAACAATTATATGTTATTTTTTACAAGGTTTGTTATTTGCTATTTGACTATTCACATTTTTCTAAGTTGCTTGGTTGTTGTTATTTAATCTTTTGATGTGTCCAGATTTCTGACCACTCGTTATATTTGATGTTTTACTCACGTAATAATTATACACCTTTAAAAAGGTATCAAGGCTGTTAGTATACTAACTTAAATATCTATATATTAACTAGCTGACCCGGCGAACTTCGTATCGCCTAAGTTATAGGTTTCCCCTAAGACAGACCGATGGAAAGAAAGTACCGTTACGTTTAATTTTCAAGATGATCTCGTTCGCATCGCTCAATCACGTCCTGGTTGAAGTTCGTTCGCTACGCTCACTCACCTTTGGGTTGGAGCTCGTTCGCTACGCTCACTCACCTTTAGGTTGGAGCTCGTTCGCTGCGCTCACTTGCCTTCAGGTTAGCTCGTTCGCTACGCTCACTCGCCTCCAGGTTGGAGTTCGTTCGCTACGCTCACTCACCTTTTGGTTGCAAATTAGCTGTTATCATAAATGTAAAAGAAATAATAGTGCTGCACCCTGTTGGTAATCCTTGTAACTTTAATGCTATTGAACATCATAGAACAGAACCAACTTGTTTAATTGAAACAGCTGTTAAGATTCATTAATTCCATTTCTCATAAGGTTAACATGGGAAAATCCAGAGCCACTGGGGCGGAGCCCTTTAAAGAATTTCGAACCGGGAAATAGTTTACGTCCGATTCGCATACCTACAGAATTTACACACCAAAATTCATAACGATCGGTGAAGTCGTTCCGGAGGAGTTTGCAGACAAACACTGTGACACGAGAATTTTATATATTAGATTTGAAACTGGTTTTCTTTGTCACAGCTATTTTGAGAGAACGGCTGGGCATAGAAACTCGGTAGAGGTGTCTAAAGAAAGGTCTTGGTCTGTAGATGAGCCATCAAAAGAGAAACATGGTGAATTCCCTTGGGGCTCTGCCCCCGTGACCTTTAAATTCCCATCCCATGTTATTCTTATGGAGGAAAATGGGGTTTTTGTCACAGCTAATTTGAGAGAACGGCTGGGCGTAGAAACTTGGTAGGGGTCTCTAAAGAAAGGTCTTGGTCTGTAGATGAGCCATCAAAAGAGGAAAGAGGTAAATTCCCTTGGGGCTCTGCCCCAGAAGCCTTTAAAGTTGCCTCTTCAGATTTGTTTACATTACGACCATATGCATAATTCTACACTATTTTTTAATGCAACAGCTGTTAATATTTAAATTGTGATTTATTGAATTTGTCAAAATGAAGTACAGTATTTGCAATGGATTTTTCTGATTTTAAAATTGATTTTCTTCTGCATCGTGTCATGTTTTGCAATATAATGTTCTATTACCAAATCAGTGGAAAATCCTATATAATATCACAGTAACTTTTAAAATTATTTCTTATGGAGTTAACTTATATCTATTGTATGGGTTGGTTTCTGCCTTTTTTACCACTTCTTGGAGATTGTACGTGGGTGATATTATTTGGCATATTGCATCTGTAGACGAAACTTGGGTTGGTGTAATAATTGCAATGGAAAAGAGCGAGAAATCCTGGACAATTTGATATAGGCTCAAAATAAAAAATTGCTCGAATTCGAGCAACAGGTACACTAGTTATTAATAATTTAAACTAAAATTAATTATATCAATATCTGCATAAATGCAAGTTACTGTTGATCTGGATAGATAATTTAACTGTAAATGGATGAATAATTAAACCTTTTTAATACTCTACATTTGTGTAGATAATTAAATAATGTAAAGTACTAACTCATTTGTGCAAATACACGGCATTCAATGGGGGGTGTGAATAAAAAGAAGTATTTGCTTAAACCAAGCTGATTTCAAGTACATTCTAAGTTCTAGGTGAATAAAAATAGTCAGAATATACTACCCCTAGAAAATTCTAAGATCACCAAATGACTAGAATATTCTAATCTTTGTAGGTGAATAAAAGCTAGTTTTTACTAGCCAGGGTTAGTATATTCTTAAAGATTTTTAAGCTAGGGGTAGACAGGCTAGCTTTCTAGTGACGGAAGCCAAAGAAGGGTTATCATCCAGTCATGGCTACGTTTATGATAGAAAAACGCACTGTGATAGACGTGAGTTAGGCTCGTTTCACATCTACCCGGCTGCCGGGTGCCGGGTGTCGTTTAACCGGCAATGGGGTGAAGAAGTATATGGCACCGTTCACACATGCACGGCATGTGTCGTGACCGGTTAATCACTTGCCCGGCTGCCGGGTAAACAAGCTGGCTGGAGTAGTGGGTATAGCGGCCCAATGTGACTGTTCACATACAACCGGCACCTGCCGTCTGTCGGGTGCACCAAGAGTACTTTTAGTTCAGTTCTTTGTAGTTAATGTGTATTAATTTTGGGTATTTGTTCGCAAAGTTTTGGTCATGTCCATGAACTACTTACGTACCAAGAACTTATTAATTTAGTTCAAGAGCAAAATTATTTGAATTAAATAGAATTTTTACTCAATTTATTTTTTTATTTTATTTTATTACATAACATTGAATTAAACTTTACTCAAATTCAAACTGAATCAAACTTAAAAAAATCAAATATAAATACAATTGCAATAAAGTTATTTCAAAGTACCTAACATTACAATAATTGCTCTATTACGTTCTATTTCCATCCCTACGACACACAAGTTTCACAAGCTTGAGTACAACTGCCGGAGTGCCGGTGTCGGCGTAATGTGAAAGGTGCACTCGTGCCGGTGCCGGCTAGAAGTCGGGTTAACGGCATGCCGGGTAGAAGCCGGGTAGATGTGAAACGAGCCTTAGATGTAAATATGTAATGCAGCTTATACGTTTTACTAGTGAAAACATGGATTTTCAACATGGATTTTACCAGCAATGCCCGATCAACGTTCTTCCCTACCTCAACCACATGATCATCCAGCTCTTCTTCTGAGTATACATGGAGGGTAATCTTCACTTGCAGACATATAAAGCTAGACTGAGGTATTCCTGTGTAGTGTGTGGAAACAAAGGGCACCAAGGCGGGTGATATGTTCAGAATTGAAAGTTTGCGTCATCTTAGTATTTTCTATGCCTAGTTTTTTTCTAACCTGTTAGAATATACTAGGATTCGGCAAATGACCTAGGTATATTCTAACTAGTTTTAGCAAATTCTTATTCACCTCGTTTTGAGAATTAGCTAAAACTAGTTAGAAAATACTAATAAGAATATAGGCTACTAGTTTTACTGACTCCACTGAAGAACAGTCCAGTAATCAAATAACTAGTTCATAGTTCAACTGAATGAAAATGCAGGACAGATAGTTTAACAATTGAATGAAAACGTGGATCGGGTAGGTTACAGATATCGGTAGATGATATAGTTCATTCTGCTGATCACATGTGATAGAATGAATGGCTCACGAAAATTAAAGTAACCATCGGAAGAATCGGTCGGCATGCAACAACCGGATGATTCGCTTGTTTCTATCGGATAGTTCACATCACTAGAATTTGCTTAGTCTGCACTCTGAAGGTTTGCTGGGGCGGAAGTATTTCTGTATAGAGATGCTTATTTATTCTTATATGGGGTTACATTACTTACTTACTTACTGCCGCGGCTCCACAAATCTCAGTTGATTCTTCACCTTGTGTGCCTCTTCCACGCTTCCACGTGTTCTGTTAAGTTGACATTTGCACCAATTGTCTAGATGTCGTTCAACACTTCGTCAGTCCATCTCAATTTCGGCTTTCCCAAAGGATGTTTACCTCCAGGTGTGGCTCTCCAAACTTCATACAGTCTTGTTCTTTTCTCTCTTCTTAGCACATGCCGATGGCTAACATCAAGGGAAAACACTAACACTGTCAGTCCCAGTAGTGCAATCCAAGGTGTTAGCAAGAGTTGTCTGATGCTTCCCCGTAGTGCAGGGTAGGAAACGCATCCTAGGTTGGCTTGGAACTTATGAGGTAGGCAAAAGGCAGGCAACTCGAGCCTGGTCCTCCAAGGGCTTGTAAGGGTTGGGCGTTGGGCCAACAACCCGCACCGGAAAGTTACGAAACGTAGTTACCAAGCCTCGGAAAAGGATGGGATTACATTAAATTACATTAAAAGTAAATTTTTAAAAACACCCGAAGATTTTGATGGGTAGGACCGAGGCTTTCTTTTCCCCACTGGCTAGGAACATAAATGAATCGTAATGATTTTAATAAACAGAAAGAAAGGTAGGCCTACTGTAGTAAATAATGTACCTACTAAAACTAATTTAAATGTAGATTTAAGATTTGTTTGAAAAATGTCATGAACTTTTGTTACTAATACCTACAGAATAAGAAAAAAATATTTTGATAATACCTACCCAATTTAAAAAACCAAACATTTATCAATGGTTGTTAACTGAGTTTGTGTATTGTACTTGTTAAAATGAAATGTATGTAAAATGATAAGTATCCTACCTTATATTCAAATGAGCTTGTGAATTGTTACTTTTGCAATTGTTTTACCAAGAATAATTAGGCAGCAGTGTTACAAAGCAATATAGATAACCAATGTTAATAAAATTTACCTTATTAGTTGGTAAATTGTTTCATATTGTCTTTTGTCTATTGTCATATTGTCCTCAGTTTTCTTCTCTATGCAAATGTTAACACAATGTTTAGCTTGTAAAGCACTATTTAAAATGGAATAAATTGTTTGAATAAAGACCGTTTTGAAGTTTCAACATTTTTCCTTTTTGTGACAAAAAAAACTCAGTATCCATGTTGAACAACTAGAAACTTAATACAACAGTTTTACACAACCGATGCTACTGTGTCAGTGAACCACAGCAAACTGAGGCACACTTGCTTCTAGAAACAATTTTTTTTGTTTCCTGATTGGAGAAGCACAAGCTTGTCCCTGTGTGTGCTTGCTAGTGGCGAGCACTGTAACCATGAATGGACAAGTCGCCACAGGTTTCCAGTAATCTGCTACAATTTTGTTTCAAATGGCAAGCTTGGCCAAGCGGGTGCCATCATTTTACTTGCCCAACCAAAGTAAACACAGCCTAATGGAAGTCAAATCTCAATCGTAATTGTAGATTATCCTTAACAGATAAGTACCTTTTTTTCGTTCCTTTTCCTTTTCTGTAATTTTCTAAGTATTGAAGTCATAAATTCTTGGTTTACAATTCTCAATTCTATCAGGAATAGGAGGTATAAAAACCTTATGTTATTAAAAAAGAATTTTATAAAAAATATTTACATCAAATGTTCAATTCAGTCCACATCCTCCATTTCTTTACTCATATATTCGCTCCTTGCGGTCTGAAACAAACAATAGTGCAAATTAAAAGTGTTACCCAATTTAAAGAACTTTTTACAACCCATAGGACCTGTTTTGTCAGTTGCCTTTCAAACCCAACAAACAAAAACAACACCAATTTGAAATTTATCAAAGTTAAGCATCTTAATTGTGTAGTAGTAGTTTCTATTGGGTTTTTACAATAGTTGCCTTTTGTTCTTGATCTTGTTTGTAGTCACAAAAGGAAACTGTAAAAAGGTAACTTCAAAAAATCTTGTGTCGAACTAAGTTGTAAGAATGCAGTATTAAAATCAGAAGGAACAACAGCAGCAATACTTAGTGAGTGAATTCAAAATATTTCTGAAACTTTTCCTATTGGAATCCATCCAACAAATGCTTAACTTTATTCCTTTTGAAGTCAGTGGATTCAAAATATGTTTTTTCCTAACATACTGGTCATTTTAAATTAACAATAGGTTAATTTACCAACCCACTATTGTGCATGGTAAATGTGATTTTCAAACTTATTGTAAGAGCCAAGTTTCCAGTATTGTTACAAACATGTTAAGCCAATTGAAGTTATTCATTTTTATGTTTTTTGGCAAGAATATTTAGGCCTAAGTAAATGAGATAGTAACAAAACCCGAGTTAGATGCCAACCATGATGGTAGATTGTTGATGAAATAATGACGACTTTGAACAAAAAGATTTTAGTTTGTGGGACTTAAAATTGCTAATATATGATCCTTCTTAGTTTTCCATAAGAGAATTAATTAATCCATAAGATTTGTATATCAATTAAAGTAGGTTATTCATTGGAGCTCTAGTATCTAGGCCTAGATTAATAGATTTTATTTTAATTGTGCCTACACGAGCGTGAGCATGTAGCTTTTAAGTAACAAAATGCGTTTTCAAACCTCTTACATGTTTACCATCCCACCATTCACTTTATACCAAAAATCTATACTAACATCCATTAGTACAGCCTACTACTGTTGTGCTGTTATCACGTGATCCTCTGTGGACAAACTTTCTGTTGCCAGAGAGACCATTGTTGCGTAAACGTGATTTATGCAGCCCAGTCAAGACTAGTCCTAAATCTGCCTTTAGCTTTATGGGAATGCGATGTCCGCTAATATTTGTTAAGATTTACATACTAACCTTAAAATTGGCAGCCACCTGGTCGCACTTCTTCTCCAGATCCTGCAGTCCACGTTGCAGGATTTGAATGGCTGGAGGCCCGTTAGTCTGTATCCTCAGATGCATCTTCTGTTCGGCAGGGTGTGGCACAGTATATCCGCAGAACAGAACATCCTCACTACATCACATTATATGTCATAAATATAGGCATAATATGAAATGCAAATATATCAGGAGTCCATGTGAAATGGGCTCATATTACAATGATAGGCACGCAACTATAATGAAAACTACTTCAGGGTTGAAAACTACACTAAAAGCCTCTACCATCGAGTATATTGTGTGCGCTCAGCACTACACAGGATGCTGGAGGGCTGGTCAGAGAGCCGTACTTCTGACTATACCATCTCTGAGCAAACCTTTCAAATTTAAGGAGAATTTAATGTCATTATGATTAGTGGTCCATGATTACTTGTTGTATTAAATGGTTTATGTTACCAGTCTGTCAGTATTCCTAAAAGTAATCTATGGCAACCAGGTTTCGAGATTTAAATCTCATCATCAGGCAGATTAAAAATGTACCGGTCACTAACTTACTTATTTCAACCCAGCTCGATCCCGAATACAAGAATATGTTTTTAGTAAGAATGGTAGAAAAAAATAAACTTACTATTGTGTAATGATTGACACTAAGCAGTTCCCCAAGGTATGGTTTTCGTCATTGAAGATAAATGTTCTGGATTTGTCACCAGATTGTTGATCTCCAGCTAGCTGTAATGAAAAGGTGTCCAGATAATAAACTTTTGTTACACTGATATTTTTTAATGTTGATTAATCTATACTTACTCAATGAGCCGCATAGTATCCTTATTTTCAATGTGATAGCCTAGTTTCAATCGATATTAGCATAGCCCAGTTAAGAAACTGTACCCTTTCTCACCCCAAATTAGGGAGTTTACGATATTTGGACTGTCATACCCCCAAAAAAGGGGAAATACAAGGATTAGGGAGAAAATCCCGGCCAAAAATTCCCACTCCCCACAGCCATACACCTAACTTTCTTAGGCCTACATCTTTGTTCATTTACTTACCTCTGAAAGTGTATTCATTTCCGTTTATTACTTGATAGGACTTCCTAAGAGCAGATATAAAAATACAACAGTTTCTTGAAATGTAAGAGTAGTAATAAATTTTTGACCTATAAATTTACCTATAGACTATTTTCTGATTATTTAGGAAACATTTAAGTTGCAATCATCTACAGAACGTACATTTTAAACAATAATCAACCGAATACATAACTGTTACTGTTACCCATAACACAGATATTACAGTAATATGAATTAATAAAATATATCTATAATATAGATATATTATATAGTAGCCTAAACCATTGACTATATCTAAACTCCTGTAATGAAAATAAGTTAATGCTTTTAGGTTAGATTTAGTGATGTGACGAGTTGAGTTGGCGAGTCGAGTTGACTCGAGTCAAGACCCGAGTCGAGTCAACTCGAGTCAACTCAATTCCAACTCGAGTTCTTTTACGAACTCGTACGGAGATTGCCGAAGCTACACGAACTCGTAACGTTACGAGTCCGACTCGCAAAAGCCGAGTCAAGAAACCGAACTCATACGGAGAAAGCCGAACCTTAACGAACTCGGGACGTAACGAGTTGACTCGAGTTTACTCGCACTCGCTTTCGGCCAATAGCGTCACAGCTTTACGAGTCAACTCGCATAGATTCAACGCTATTGGCCGGTACCGAGTCGGCCGACTCGCAAAACTAACGAACTCGTACGGAGAATGCCGAACTCACACGAACTCGGAACGTCTCGAGTCGAGTCGAGTCGACTCGTAAAGCTGACACGCTATTGGCCGGTACCGAGTCGGCCGACTCGCAAAACTAACGAACTCGTACGGAGAATGCCGAACTCACACGAACTCGGAACGTCTCGAGTTGAGTCTGACTCGACTCGTAACTCGAGTTCACGGCAGTTGGCGAGTCGAGTCACTCGAGTCAGGAAAGTACCCGACTCGTCACATCACTAGTTAGATTTTGATTTTGATTTGAGTTCGTTCTTTCGTTCGTTGAGGTTGAGGTTTGGTTTAGATATAGATTATGTTTTATCAGGGTTTTTGTCTGCCATAAAGTTTCAGCTAAACTTTTATCCATACAACTGCTCTGCATTTCTATCAATCTCAACGGCATCCGCCATCGGTCATGCCATCGGTAATATACAACTACCCCCGCTGTAGCAGACCTGCCGACTAAGACAATTTCCATTAGCCTGGCTTGATTTTCAATTAATCTATTAAATTAACATTTATGTTTAACGAGTACCTAGGTTAGCCGTTAAAGAGAAACTAATAAACTGCGTTTTTTTTTAATATTAATAGTTTAGTATGAAATAAACAAATCCGCCAACTACAACATTTTACAATATTCTGCGTAAGAATAACATCGGAATTAAAAAAAAAACAATTTTTTTAAATTTTATCCGTAACCATTCACTGTTCAAAAACTAATTATTTTGTTAAGCTCTTTGAAAAGGCCTGGGAAAAATTTGTACATTTTGTGTTTTCAGGGTAAAAATTTAAAAACCCCATTTTTACCCCATAAAACCCCCCGTTAAACCCCGTTCCGATGGTCCGATCATGCTGGTTTCCAAACTCATTCAAGTTTATCCCGCCTTACATCATCAAACCAAATTTTATCAAAATCGGACAAAAATTACTCAAGTTATCGTCCGGACACACAAACACACACACACACACACACACACACACACACACACACACACACACACATATATATATATATATATACTAGCTGACCCGGCGAACTTCGTATCGCCTAAGTTATAGGTTTCCCCAAAGACAGACCGACCCGGCAGACGTTGTCTTGCCTTTGACTATTTATAATTTAAGTACCGTTACGTTTAATTTTCAAGATGATCTCGTTCGCATCGCTCAATCACGTCCTGGTTGAAGTTCGTTCGCTACGCTCACTCACCTTTGGGTTGGAGCTCGTTCGCTACGCTCACTCACCTTTAGGTTGGAGCTCGTTCGCTGCGCTCACTTGCCTTCAGGTTAGCTCGTTCGCTACGCTAACTCACCTCCAGGTTGAAGTTCGTTCGCTACGCTCACTCACCTTTAGGTTGGAGCTCGTTCGCTGCACTCACTTGCCTTCAGGTTAGCTCGTTCGCTACGCTAACTCGCCTCCAGGTTGAAGTTCGTTCGCTACGCTCACTCACCTTTTGGTTGCAAATTAGCTGTTGTCATAAATGTAAAAGAAATAATAGTGCTGCACCCTGTTGGTAATCCTTGTAACTTTTAATGCTATTGAACATCATAGAACAGAACCAACTTGTTTAATTGAAACAGCTGTTAAGATTCATTAATTCCATTTCTCATAAGGTTAACATGGGAAACTCCAGAGCCACTGGGGCGGAGCCCTTTTAAGAATTTCGAAACGGGAAATAGTTTACGTCCGATTCGCATACCTACAGAATTTACACACCAAATTTCATAACGATCGGTGAAGTCGTTCCGGAGGAGTTTGCAGACAAACACTGTGACACGAGAATTTTATATATTAGATATATATATATATATATATATATACCGGTATACGTATATAAAAATTTGAACGAATGGTGTTTTTTGGCCTCTGGGGACATCAAAATGAAAAAGAAAATCGGTCCCGGGCCTAGGTCTTACCATGAGACCTACACGGTAATAGCTATACTTCCCTATAGGGAAATTCGCTATAAGTGGGACAATAATTATTATACGTTTAATCCTTATGAGCTAATATACGTTAAGTTATCAACATAAAAAGGTTATAGTAACTAAGGTAAAGCAAAAAGAAAAAGCTGTCTAAAGGTTTGGTGAACTAGTTCAGGTCCAGGTCTTGGCTGCAAATAATTCAGAAAGCCTTCCTGAAGCACAAAAAATAAAGGTCAAGATTTAGGGGAATGGGCTGTAGCATATATACAACATAGGGGATTATAGGGGGAGGGTTTAAGAGGTAAAAATTTATTTTCCCCATTTTTACCCCATAAAACAAAAGAATGGGGTATTCATCAATCTATTGCAGTGAGTATTGTTGTTCTAGCGCAGCGTCGCGTCGTATGATGTCTTCACAGCAATCCCACCCGGAAAATGAAGCTGAAAAATAGGTTTTAGCGGAGCTTATTTATCAATAAACACTTTTTAAGCTTATTGCTAATTTTATTTCGATCATTAGGCCACTGCTTAGCCCATATATTCCATTTCTTCCGGCGTGCTTCCTCAGTTATCAATCAACACATCTAAGAGCTAAATATAAATACAAAATGTTATCAAAATCGGATCATAATTGATTGATTTATCTTGCTAACGGACATATATATATATGAATTTGAACTGATGGTGTTTTGGGCCTCCAGGGACCTCAAAACGAAAAAGTAAATCGGTCCCGGGTCTAGGTCTTACCATGAGACCTGCGGTAATAGCTTATTCCCTATATGAGAAATTCGCTAATAGATTTTCAATTAATTTAAATATTGTTTTGGTTTTTTTAATTCCATATGATTTGTTTTTAATAAAAAAATCTATAATCATAAATGTAAATTAATTTTACGCGAATTAATGAGCTGGTGTCACTTGTCTGTCATGTTATCTTAATGGGACGTCTGGCGCTAGGCGCTAGACAGCACTTTACTTCCACCATAGATAAAACATTGATGTTTTATCTATGTTGCCACCATGACTTGCAACGTTGGCAATTAGGCAATTAGGTAAGGCCCTGGATTTAAATGTGGCCGTGGTTGTAGTCATTTCCCCGCTTCGTTCACAAAACACAACGCGTTGAATCATGCTACCATAGATTAAAAGAAGTAGACATAAAAGTAGACATGTCTATACTCCTTTTATCTATATGATGCTACTCTATGGAGGTAAAGGGTAATGCTACTGTTTCTGGCGATCTGCTGCATGGACATGAATCTATAGCAGTAGCAGTAGATAAGGACATTCCATATCCCCAGGAATGATTCGAACGATCGGGAAAGTTCTGCAGTGTTTTTCTTTCTTCTAGCCATAGGTGATGCCTCTTCAATTAGGTACTAAACGAGAACTTTTCTTTTAGCGAATTTCCCATTTAGGGAATAAGATATTACCGTAGGTCTCATTGGTAAGACCTGGACCCGGGACCGATTTAATGATTCGTTTTGAGCTCCCAAGAGGCCGAAAACACCATCCGTTCAAATTCATATACAGTATATATATATATATATATATATACATATATGTTTATGTGTGTGTCCGTTAGCGTATAAACTAGTCCAGTCAAGGAATGAGGTGTAGAGTGCGTGAGCAGGTAACTAAGCGATTCCTTCAGAAACTTGTTCAGGGGGCTTAGGGTGTTAACATACCAAAAGTCCTGACTCCTAGGGGGTGAGCCAGGGGGTGGAGGGGGGAAAAAGGGGGGGAGAAAGGTACGCATTTTGGGTTTTTTTATTATATCTCGAAAACTATCAACTTTTTGTATACTATAGTAAATTATAAAATTGAAGAAGATTAAATTTTCTACAAGAAAAGTATATAATGTGTTTATTTTGGTTCAACAGATTACGAGTTATAACTTATTTAATTGATATCTTATTAAAATACTCCTTCCATAAGAAATACATGTAAATTAGTATGCGAAATGGGGCGAATCCTATCCGCCCAAAGGAAATATAACTGATATTCTGGAAATCTTGACAAAATTTCTAGTAATTTGACACTTTAATCATGAAATTTTGTCAAAAATTAAAGCGAGGGTGAGCGTTTAAAAATGGGATGATTTAAGGTTTTTTTTTTTATATTTCCAATAAAAAAAACACCAAAACTCGACATTTTGTTACCTCGCACTCCCCTTAATTTTGGATCAATTTTAATGATTAAAGTGTCAAATTACTGGAAATTTTGTCAAGATTTCCAGAATATCATTTATATTTTCTTTGGGCATATAGGATTCGCCCCATTTCGCATACTAATTTACATGTATTTCTTATGGAAGGAGTATTTTAATAAGATATCAATTAAATAAGTTATAACTCGTAATCTGTTGAACCAAAATAAACACATTATATACTTTTCTTGTAGAAAATTTAATCTTCTTCAATTTTATAATTTACTATAGTATACAAAAAGTTGATAGTTTTCGAGATATAATCAAAAAACCCAAAATGCGTACATTTCTCCCCCCCCTTTTTCCCCCCTCCACCCCCTGGCTCACCACCTAGGAGTCAGGACTTTTGGTATGTTAACACCCCAAGCCCCCTGAACAAGTTTCTGAAGGAATCACTTAGTTACCTGCTCACGCACTCTACACCTACTTTTGGATCATTCATT